GTTCTGATATGACTTACTTTGAGCTCTGAATCCTTGCAAACTGTTACTGATTTTTGAGAATTTGGCTCTAAATTTTATGAATAGTGTTAAGTGTCAATTTTGGGTTATTTTCCATTTATTGACACTTTTAAGCTCTTTTTTATGCCTTGATTATGAAAATGACTCATTTTAAGTGATTTTTGCATCGATGTAAATAATCTTGGTAGATTTAATGTATTTGTTAGTTTTAAGCATTTTATGTTTAGATGTTGCGGCTTAAAGCGGTCTCAGAGATGAAGAATCAAAGAAAGCTCAGTGTCTGTGTTTGGAAACGCATCGCCTGGCATTGGGGTGGCGATGAGAAGCAGCGTCTCCTAGAGATGAAGGAGCGATGAGCCTGGCGTGGATTGATGAAATTTTAGAAAGCTACTGGAGTGTGTTGCGCCTTGGAGCGCCCGACAATGAATAAGAGAGAAGGCATTGCCCGACGGTGCATACTGAGCATCAGGCGATGATAGATATTTTTGTTGGCTGCATGCCAACAACAAATTATCAAAATAACCAAGGTTACCAACATAAGGGTAATCAAGGTTATTAACAAGGTTGGAGACAAGATGATGAAAATTCTAACCGACAAAATCTATATCAAAATACCGCTCAACCTTCACAACCTCAAAGTGGAAGTTCCAAGATGGAAGAAACTCTCACTCAATTTATGCAAATTTAGATGGAAAACCAAAAGACAAATGAAGTGGCAATCAAAAATATCGAGAGCCTAGTTGGGCAACTTGCAAAGCAACTAGTCGAATAACAAATAGGGTCGTCCTTTCTTGTAAATACTCAAACCAATATGAAGGATCACTGCAAGGCAATTGTAACTAAGAGTGGAAGAGATCTTGGTGGTGGAGAAGAAAATGAAAAGAAGGATGATGGGGTTGTTGAGGAGGAGATTATGGTAGAAAATGAGTTAGAAGATGAGATAGTAGTAGAAAAAAATGTTAAGGATGACTTAGTTGAAAAGGAGAAATTGGAGAAAGAAGAAGTAGAAAAGAAGGATAAAAAAGAAAAAATGAGAAAAAGTAATAAGGGGAAGGGGAAAGTGAATACTATTCCGGTTCAAAATTTGCCTTATCCTCATGCTCCTTCCAAGAAGGATAATGCTAGGCACTATGCTCGTTTTATGGATATATTTAAGCAATTGCAAATAAATATTCCATTTTCCGAAGCTATAGAATAAATGCATATGTATGCTAAGTTCATGAAGGACATCCTTACAAAAAATAGAAGATTTACGAATCAAGAAATTATCATGGTTGATGCGATTTGTAGTGCCATCATTCAATGAACTCTGTCAAAGAAGGAAAGTGATCTGAGAAGGGTTACTTTGCCAATTACCATTGGTGATGTATATGTCGGTAAGGGTTTGATTGATTTGAGTTCTAGAATAAATTTGATTCCTTTATCTATCGTGAAAAGATTGGGATGCATTGAGATGAAGACAACAAATATGACACTTTAACTCGACGACAAATCCATTACCCGTCCTTACTATATAGCTCAATATGTGCTAGTGAAGGTGGACAAGTTTTTCTTCCCAGTTGACTTTGTTGTGATTGACATGGAGGAAGATCATGACGTACCTTTGATTCTTGGCTGACCATTCATGAAGACCGCAAGAATGATGATTGACATCGATAATGGTTTGATGAAGGCCCGTGTTTAATATGAAGAAGTGAGTTTCAATCTCTTTGAATCAATGAAACATTCAAATAATAAAGGAGCTTGATTTAGAGTTGATTCTATCGAAGAAGCCATTTGGGATGTTACTAGTGAAGTTCATATTTCAACACCCCTTGAGAAAATATTGACTAATGTACTTCAAGTTCTTGATACCCATGAAGAAAAAGAAATGGAATAATGTTTGAAGGAACTTGAGACTTTAGAATAAGTTCAACCTTGGGAGGAAGAAGTTGAAATCTTGAAAAAGGAAGCGAAAGAAGAAGAATCCAAAATTAAATTGAAGACGTTGCCTTCTCACTTAAAATATGTGTTTCTTGATGATGGTTGTAACAAATCGATGATCATAAGTAATGCTTTGTCGGAAAAAGAGGAACATTGTTTAGTCAAGTTTTGAAGAAAAATCAAAGAGTAATAGGTTGGGTTTTGTCGGATTTGAAACACATTAGTCTGACCTATTGTATGCACAAGATTATGATGGAAGAGGATTTCAAGCCGAGAGTTCAACCTTAACTCTGCTTGAATCCTATAGTGAAAGAGGTTGTGAGAAAGGAAGTAGAGAAATTATTAGATTCCGGGATGATTTATCTTATTTCTGATAGTACATGGGTGAGTCTGGTACATGTGGTGCCAAAGAAATATGGAATGGTCGTGATAAGAAATGAGAAGAATGAATTGATTCTGACAAGGACCGTAACGGGTTGGAGGATGTGTATTGATGATCGGAGGCTTAATCAAGAAACTATGAAAGATCACTTTCCTCTTCCTTTTATGGATCAAATGCTCGAAAGGTTATCGGGTCAAGAGTTCTATTGTTTTTTAGATGGGTATTTTGGGTATAACCAAATTATGGTTAATCTGGACTACCATGAGAAAATGACTTTTACTTGTTCGTTTGGAAATTTTGTGTATAGGAGGATGTCCTTTGGTTTGTGCAATGTACGACCACTTTTCTAAGGTGTATGCAAGCCATATTTTCCGATCTTGTTGAGAAGACTATGGAAGTCTTCATGGATGACTTCTCCGTTTTCGGGGCGTCTTTTGTTTTATGTTTGAAAATTTTGGATATCGTCTTGAAGAGGTGTGTGGACACCAACTTAGTTCTTAATTTGGGAGAAATGTAACTTCATAGTTACCAAGGGAATTGTTCTTGGTCACAAAGTTTCATCCAAGGGGCTTGAAGTTGACAAAGCCAAAGCGGAGGTTATTGAGAATTCGCCACCACCATTGAACGTGAAGGGGATCCAAAGTTTTTTAGGTCATGCGGGCTTCTATCAAAGATTTGTCAAAGACTTTTCCAAAATTGCAAGGTCATTGAGGAACTTACTCAACAAAGATAAGTATTTTATTTTCGATGAGGCTTGTTTGATAGCTTCTAATAAATTGAAACAAAATTTGATAATTGCACCAATAATTGTAGTACCAAATTAGAAAATTGATTTTGAGCGAATGTGTGATGCTAGCTATTATGTTGTTGGTGCGATTCTTGGTCAAAGAAAAGGAAATTTTTTCCATGCGATAGATTATGCTAGCAAGGTTCTTAATGAGGCACAAATTAATTATGCCACAACTGAAAAAGAATTGTTATCTATAGTGTATGCTTTAGAAAAATTTAGGTCTTACCTCATTGGGTCAAAGATTGTGGTGTACAATGACCATGCAGAGATAAGTCATTTTCTTACCAAATCAGATTCTAAGCAAAGACTTATTCGTTGGATCCTTTTGTTGCAAGAATTTGATCTAGAAATTCACGACAAGAAAGATTCTGAGAATTTGGTAGCAGATCACTTATCCCACTTGGTCAATGTAGAAGTCACAAACCAAGAAAGTGAAGTTAGAGAGGAATTTCCAGATGAATAATTGTTCATGGTACAAGTTAGACCGTGGTTTTCCGACTTTGCAAATCACAAGGCATCTAGATTGATACTGGAGGATCTAACTTAGGACCAAAAGAGGATATTCTTGGCGGATGTGAAATTTTATGTTTGGGATGAGCCTTATCTTTTTAGGCTTGGAAGTGATAATTTGTTAAGAAGGTGTGTGTCATTGGAGGAGTCTTAAAGTATACTTTGGCATTATCATAATTCTCCGTATGAAGGTCATTTTAACGGTTTGCGTACAACAACAAAAGTCCTTCAATCAGGATTGTATTGGCCGTATTTGTTCAAAGATGCATACTTACATGCTAAGAATTGTGATAAATGCTAAAGAAGTGGAGGAATTGGAAAGCGGGATGAGATGCCCTTGAATAACATGTTGTAAGTAGAAGTTTTTGATTGTTGGGACATCAATTTTGTAGGACCATTTCCCCCATCTTTTTCGAATGGGTTTATTCTTGTTGTGTTTGATTACGTTTCTAAATGGGTGGAAAAGGTAGCATGTCATAGAGAGGATGGTAAAATGGTAATTAAATTTCTAAAGAAAAACAAATTTTCTTGTTTTGGCACACCGCATGTGTTAATTAGTGGTGGTGGATCACACTTTTGCAATACACCTCTTGAAAAAGTTTTGGAAAATTATGGCGTAAAGAATAAAGTGGAGACCCATAACATCCACAAGAAAATGGTCAAGCAGAATTTTCGAATAGGGAAGTAAAAAGAATTTTGGAAAAAACCGTTTCAAATTAACAGAAGGATTTGTCTCTTAAGTTAGATGAGGCTTTATGGGCATGTCGTACTGCTTACAAGGCTTCGATTGGTTTGACATTGTCTCAAATGGTGTATGGTAAAACATGTCATCTTCCGGTTGAAATAGAGCACAAGGCTCTTTGTGCCTTGAAATTTTTAAACTTTAATTCTAACTTGGTCGGAGAAAATAGAAAAAAATTTAATTGCAGGGTTTAGATTAAATGCGCAATGATGCTTACCATTCCAACAAGATTTATAA